CAAAGTGGATGTCTATGTCACCTTCTATCCCTTGGGGGATGAAACCATGTAACATTTAAAAAAGATAAAACCAAAAAGGAGGGATTGACCAACAAAGACAAAAAAACGGTAAATAGAATGTCAATAACACTGTTGGTGAAACTGCATCAAATATGAATGGGGCCATCCATTGGAGAGACAGCTGCCTGTGGATGTACAGAAGCACCACTCTATATGAGAGACTCAAGACAGACAACAAGAGGGACTTGGTGGAGGGGAATCTCATCAGGGAAGGTGATGATACACATGTCCTACAAAAAAAGTGTGTGTGCCCACGTGTGTGTGCAAACACCAAACTCCTGGAGTTGATTGGATGGCAGATAGGACACATTTTTCTCCAGTCACTGCAAAGACCTGAGGAACACAAGAAGGCAAACTCTGAGCAAACTCTGCACAGAGCTCCCTGGATCCAACTAGGACATAAAATTAAAACATGGTAGCTCTCCATGCTTCTTAAGCTTTAAGGGATGAGTTACCAAACAATGTTTCAGTGGGTTGGGTTGTTCCTGAGGCTCTGCACACATGAATATCCTAAAGCAAATAGGTCCAGAATGTTCTAGCATTTAACTTTAAAAGGGTTTGGGTCTTAAAAGTTCCCAGAAACTCATAGAGCGGTGCTCAGGGCTGGAGTCTCTAGGAGCTGACTGGATTGTGAGGGTCCAGATGTCACCAATGGACACCTCTACTGATGGAGTCATTGCTTAATGGGGCTATTGAGAGACAGATGGTGGGGAATTTTTGGAGGAGGGGCTTATGTACCCCCACAGGGATGTTTTGTCCCCGTTACTTCCCTTCTCTGTTGTTTTCCAGCCATCAGTATCCCCCACAATATTGCCCTACCTCGCCCTGGAAACTATAGAGATGAGTGGATGGAACCCTCTGAATCAGTGGGCCAAAATAAACCTTCCCTTCCACAAGTCGATTTACTCAAGGCTTTTGTCATGGTGTCAGAAAGCTGTGAATTACAGTGGCTTCTACCACTGTTTAAACGGCTTTGCCAAGTTCCCGCTTGCCAGGTTGATCCTAGGATCCCTCGCAGCTCTACAGAGACATGGCACGTAGAGGTGAACGCTCAGGGGCCTTGGCTTCTGACGGCGTCCCTCAGAGCCCCAACAGAAAAAACAGAGATGCCCAGAAATGGGAGCGTCCATAGAGGGTCTTGCTTCAAAGAACACAGCTGTACGTCAGTCTCTGAGGGACTTGCTCCCAGAAGGCTCTGTAGGTACAGACACCCAAAAATGCACAAGTCCCTTATGTCAAACGGCAGAGGGGTGGGTCTGCATCTGACCCCTGCACACGCATGCAGACTGTAAGTGAGCCCTACTTCCCTACCACACCTACGCAGGTCAATATCATGGAAACCACTGGTTACCATATCACCTAGAGCATAACAGTCAGAAGAAAAGTCCATACATGCTCAGTACAGACAAAACGAAGCCTTTTTCTGAGTATTTTTCTATCGGAAATCAGGGCGCTTGGCTAGTTCAGAACTCATGAGTGCCACAGACTGACAACACCACATTAAAAAACCCAAAGATGTGGTCATTCAGATGGTCCAAAGCATCATTGCAGGCAGATGGCTCCAGACCTGCTAACCATTCTAGGTCCAAGGGGATTTCAGGAGGAACCTAGGGACAGGGGTACATGAGAAGGAGGCAGCCTCTGTGACAGGAGGGATGGTGGCTAGCCCAAGAGACCTTTCAGGAAGGGACAAGGGACTACCTGTCCTACACCATGAGTATTCTCTTCCCTGTTACCTATAGTGACCTTGTTCTGGAGCCAAGAGGCTTTGCCTGCTGTGTGTGTGTGTGTGTGTGTGTGTGTGTGTGTGTGTGTGTGTGTGTGTGTAAGGAGGTGGGTGGAGAGTTGGCCGCACCCGGGACACAGGGCAGCGAGGAGAGTGTCAATTGGTCATGCCTCCATTTCCTATATGTTGGGGTTCCATGTATAATCTTGCATCCTGGTTGACACTTGACAATTTGGGATCTCAGGGAATAATCTGTTTGGTGGAACAGAGGTCAGTCAAACAACACTGGGAAGTTAGGAAATTTTTTTCCTTAAGAACATGGTTCCAGGAACCCATCGCTGCCTTGCTCCCATCCCCAGTCCTTCCATGGTGCCCCCTTGGCCCTCACAGCTTCCCTGGGCAAGTGCCTCAATTTCCCAAATCTGCTTTCCCCAGGCAAGACACAAATTGCTCTTTTCATCCATTTGAGTCAGGCTGAGCCATGCTAGGCATAGCTGCCTGCTGGCCACCCTATGCAGCAAGGTAGCTGAAGCTCCGCCCTAGTTACAAGGGAAGGAATGGATTATATGACCCCAAATAGTTCACTCTGGGCACCAGGGCCTCTAGAATCAGAGCTTCAAGAGTAGGCATACCATGGTTGATGCCTGTGACATGCTCCCCACCCCAGCCTAGAAACAGACAGCACCATAGCCTCAAACACAGTTGTTAGTCTTAAGCAATTTGCTTGAATTCCCCCAGGCGGTGTGGCCTCACCAGAACCTGGCTTCCAGAGGACAGAGGAACTGTGCTCAGTGCCACAGAGCCCTCTACCACAGGCACGCAGGGATGGAAGCAGTTAGCTCACATTTGTAATGCTGAGCCACTGGTTTCCGCTGGGTGCCTGTTGGCCTTTCCAAAACAATGTGACACCATTGGCTAACAGTACCCATTCTGCCTCTCAGCCATCCTGGAGGGGTCATGCTGCTGCACCCCACCCACCCAGACCTACCTCCTCTGAAGTGGCCATGACAAATTGGCCTTTATTGGCCTGATTTTGGGAACTTCTTGTTATTTGCCTCTGCGACAGAACAACTGCATCTCTGTTTTCTCTGGCTCCTCCCACCTCTGAGATGGTCAATGGTAGTGAGAGCTTCCCAGGCTTTGTAGAAACAAGGAAATCCTGATAGGGTGGGGGGCAGAAATTGTGCTGTGTGGCCTTAGGTAAGTTGCTTAACCTCTCCAGTGTCACTGTTTCTATTTCTTCAGTAGAGACAATATCTCATTGGTTCATTTTGAGAATAGGCTGAGAAATACCAGAAACTCACGTAGACTCAATTGATAGTTGCTAAATAAGTGTCTGGTACTCTCTTGCCTCCCAAATGCCTTCTAATGAGGAGAACAAGGCCCTCAGCAAACAGCTGTAGAGAATTCAGCGGCTGCTACCTCGTGGGGTGCTTGAGGGCTCAAAGTGGAAGCAGCTGAGCCTGCCTGTTGGGTCCCATCTTGGCTTTGCTACTTTCTTTCTGTGTGTCTGCAACATCTTAGCATTTTCTGAAATGTGCACCGATATTTACGCCTACTTAACACTTCTCCTTCCTGCAAGAAAATATCTGATAGAAGCAAATCAAGGGGAGGCAGGCTTATTTTGACCTAGGATTTGGGAGGGAATAGCCCATCATGGCAGAGGGAAAGCAGAGTGGTGGGAGTGAGATTTGGCTCACAACAGCAACCAGGAAATGGAGCTGGGAGGAACTGAGACCAGGCTGTAATCCTCACTCCTGTTCTTAGGGACCCACTCCCCCCACACACTAGGCTCATCTTCCAAAGGTTCCTCAACCTCCCCAAACAGCACCGTTTGCTGGAGATAAAGTCTGGAAGGCTGTGATGAGCATTTCACCTTGGAACCGTAACATGGCTATGTCCTTGTTTACTGTCCTGTATCCCCCATCCCTAACCAGGAATTGGGATGTAGAAAGTGCTCTACTCTGAGGCTCTCAAAGAATGGATAGAAATGCTTGAGATAGAGAGATGGGCCCTGGTATTCCTAGTGCAGAGCCAATGGGAAGAGAGCAACGAGGGAAGCAGAAGCATTCCTGTCAATGTGAAGAAATGCCCAGGGGCCTAGGGTCCTCAAAGGCACCAATACAGCATCTTTTGGCAGGGAAGACTATAAATAGCTATTTTTAGATTGGACCTTCCTCAGAAGCAGGCACTTGATTACAGGTGAAGAACAGAAGGTTACACAAATACATCCCTACTGACATTTTTTTTAAATGTTAAAAAAAAAACCTAGACCGACAGCTGGGAGGCCAGCATGGGACTGATCCAGACACCCTGAGTGTGAGCGTCAGTGAGGAGGCCTGGGAAACCTATGGGGCCCTGGGCAGTGGATCAGTGTTTATCCCTGGCATACAAAGGAACTTCGTGTGTCCATAACACAAAGAGGGATGCTCTCTCAGCCTGGACTCCTATGGGAGTGCCTGGACCCGTGAAATGACAGACTTTAGATATCCCCCTATGTGGAAGGAAGTGGCGATAGGGTGGGAGGCTGGGGGGATGGTGGGGGGGTGAGGGAGGAGGGGAGGGAGAAGGAACTGGGATTGACATGTGAAACAAGCTATTAAAATAATAATAATAATAATAATAATAATAAACTACAGAGAAAAAACCCTAATTCTCCAAACTACCCATATTTAAAAGAGAAATATCACTATATCACTATATAAGGAGTCTTATACTTGCTTTTCTTTACCTGTCCCCTTTGAACTTCTGTATGTTTAGATTGGCTTTGATGAGATTGTACGTGGTATGATGTGTGTGTATGTGGGTGCATACGTGCGTGCATGCACGTGTGTATGTGTGTGTGTGTGTGTGTGTGTTCCTGTGTGTGAAGATTCCCACAGAGGCCAGAAGATACCCTCATATCTTTCTTCAGGTGTCTTGATGACAATTTTGAGAAGAAAACATATCACAGATCCAAGAGAGAAGTGATCACAACTTGGGTTGCAGAAGAGCTCAGAAGGCCAGCCACACTGCTTTCCTGTCCTGTGGGCCTTTTCTCCCACCCTGTGCCAATGTCAGAGCTGACCTCCATGCCCTGGTGATGGGGGAAGTCCTTCTGTGTATATGTTGTCCTATTGGTTGATAAATAAAGCATTGTTGGCCAATAGGGAAGCAAGATAGGTGGAACTAAGAATCAAGGAGGATTCTGAGATAGTCAAGAGTAGAGAGTTGCCATGTGATCCTGGGAAGAGAGGACATATGAGGCTGTGTCCTAGGTAAGATAAGGCCTTATAAAAATATACATTAGTAATTATGGGTTAGTAATTAAGTCAGAGCTAGCCGATAAGAAACCATAGCAAACAGCCAACAGCTTCATAATTAATATAGTATCTCCTGTGTTATTTGGGAGCTGAGACAGCAGCAGGACCCAGGCAGCTGACAGAAAGAATGCACGTTACACCCTGGCCTCACAGATCACTGAGAACAACAACTTCAAACTACAGTGGTCATTTCCAATACGCTGGGAAAGCCACACAGGAGCCGGCCACCTCCGGATTGTGAACTGGACAGTACATGCTTAAGTAGAATGTAGCGTGCCCCACAATGGTTATTTGGAGGTGGAGGCCAAGAGAAGCAGTAGATATGACATGTCCAGTTTCTGGCACCGTGACATGATTGTCCATAAAGCTCATGCTGGAGAACACAGCACCAGAGTCATAAAATATGGCACGAAAAGTTTCCATGTCTTAAGTAAGTCTATGATTTTGAGTTGGGCTCCCTGCATCGCTGGCCTAGGCCCCTTGAGCTTACAAGCTGAGGGCTGGACATGCCTGCCAGCAGGGAGAGAAAGAATCCAGACTCGAGATTCAGTTCTAATGACTTATGACTGAGACTCACAAGAGACAAAAAGGCTCCAAGATGCCAAAGGAAGTAAGAAGAGGCCAGAGGAAGCTGTGCACCACTAAGCTAATTCCTGGCCTCTCTTGTAACCAGTCACTGCAATTAATTAGTTTAGCAGCATTGAAAATGGAACCCAAGGGTTTCACACATGCAGTATGAGAACTCTACTAGGCCCAGACCTACTAGTACTTTTTATATTTCTGAGGCAAGGTCTCACTCTGTGACCCAGACTAGCCTTGAACTCTCCATGAAGCCCAGGCAGGCCTTGAACTTAAGATCCTCCTACCTCAGCCTCCCAAATGTACAGGCCTATGTTAAGTGGCCTGGCCCCTTTAAATAAGAATGCGCATTTCCCATTCCCATTCACCAAGGCAAGAATGAAGTCCCTGAGCAATGGGCCCAGCACAGAGCTCGCTTCCCTGTAGTCTTGAACTTGGCTCCTCTGAATTGACTGCAAGAGAGGAGAGCAGCCTTGCCACTTGGCTCTCAGATTTTGATTCTGCTGTTAACCTCTGGTGATCACTATGACCAAGCCAGTGATCAAGCCTGATCCCTCTACCCCATATCATGGACATATGTGACCTTAAAAGTCTCTGCATTGCTTCCGGGTTGGAGCAACATGAGTCACAGAAACTTAATTAGTTCCTTGATGGTGTCATTTTAAGAGGAGATAAGAGTAAAGACACTGACAGGAGCACAGCCACCACCACAGGACCTGACAACTGTGTGTGTGTTGTTCTTAAGCCTGAACCACTATAAATATGAACATGTAGGGCAGATGGAGACAGCCTATCACAGTGTGAGGCTGCAGAACGGGTACACCATGGTTAGAATAAAACCCCTTGAGCGGGTGTGACGTGGAAATGACAGCTTGCAGTGTATTGTAAGGACCGAGACTACGGGACCATGGATGGATACTAAGGTGACCCCCTCACTCCACCCCACTGCCAACTCCCCACCTTCCATACCCACATACTGTAGGAAGCCTGTGTTCTGGCTAGTCACATGTCAGCTCAACACAAGCTAGAGGCATTTTGGACCAGAGAACCTCAATTGAGAAAATGCCCCCACTGGACTGGCCTGATTGATAATTAATGGGGGAGGTCCCAGCACATTGTGGGTGGTGCCATCCCTGGGCTGGCGGTCCTGGGTGCTACCAGAAAGCAGGCTGAGCCAGCCATGAGGAGCAGGCCAGTGAGCAGCACCCTCCATGGCCTCTGATTCAGTTCCTGCCTCCAAGTTCCTGCCCTAATTTCCCTGGATGATGAACTACAGCTACCAGGTTAAATAAGTTGTTTCCTCCTCAAGTTGCTTTTGGTCATGGTGCTTCATCTCAGCAGTAGCAACTCTGAGACAGTGCCCCAGGCTAACTGAAAAGTCAGCCTGGTGTAGACACAGGTGGGGAGGGGAGGGGCCCATGGGGAGAGTGGGAGGGGAGAGTTTGGGGGATGTGAAGCTGCGGAGGAGGTGACCCACCACTACAAAGGCCATGTGGGCAGTGGGATAGTTTTCAAATATGGTCCCATGCCCAAAAGACACATGCGATATCACAGAAAGACATCTGGGTAGTATTTCACCAGGAAAACTGATGGACACACATTAATCATAGATGGATTCTTTAGTCTCCATTTTGGAGCCCACGCAGGACTGGGCTCACACTAGAGCAGGAAGTGAGTGAGTGAGTGAGTGAGTGAATGAATGAATGAATGAATCAGAGAATGGGTGAATGGGAGAGTGGATGAAGGAGCGAATGAGTGAAGCAGTGAGTGAATAAATGGGTAAATACGATGCAGTGAATGAATGAGTGAGGACATGAATGAACAGGGAACAGCCAATGAGTGGATGATACATAATTACATGAATGAATGGATTATGAGTGAATGAGAAAATGAACCGGTGAATGAACGAACCCTCTAACAATCTCCATGAGCACATACCACCTCTGTGAAACTCAAACGCTGGCCACAAAGGTGATCCACCTCCATTTAGCCAGAAACTGGGATTAACTTGATCTTCACCACCTGGTTTTGCCCTTCCCAGAATTTAGCACCTTAATCTCTTCCACAAACAGTCAAGAGAAAGGCAGTGGGGCCCCTTGGGTGCCTGTAGAGCAATGCAAACCAAACTTCCCTTTGGTGGGAAGGAACCCTTCAATCCTTTACTTCTCCTTGGAAAGTCAGGTATGGCCCCAGACTCAGATACTGGCCTTCTTGACTTTGTACATGGGGGGGGGCATGGGAGGTTTCCCATGGGAAGGAAGCTGGTGACAGTCCAAGCCACCACTATTGACAGATGCCTCGCTCTTGCCAGGTCCTGTGCCCATAGCTCTACTTGCTTCCTCTTACCAGACTGACAGTCCATCTGGTGGCAGAGCCAAACCATAAGACACAAGTTCAAGGTCACAGAGGGCAGGCATGCACGAGGCTGCTGTTTCCAAAGGCAAGGCATCTAATGACAGCTTCACATAGCCACAGCATTTTGCAACTAGCTGAGATCAGGAGCTGTCCTGTAATGTTTGATGCACATTGCCATCTTTGTGGCTATTCCCATGCTACAGAGGAAACTGAGTCACAGAGAGGCCATTAGCTAAGCCAAGTCAGCTACACAGGGAGGAACCAGGCTGGGTGACCAGCTGGGTGACCCACTCAACTCCTTAAGTGCAGGTTGTCACCTTTGGCCAGTATGGTTCCCAAAGGGCACATTCTTAACCACCTCCTTTCTGTCCAGAGTGACTGTCTGAAGAGACCCAAAGTGCTTGAATCCCAGGATGACGTTACAATGCATGTGTCAAACTGCAGGTATACTAAAGGGAGGAGGAGAGAGGGGAGGAGGGGAGCAAGAGGGAGGAGGGAGGAGGGGAAGGAAGAGGAGAAGGGAGGAGGGGGAGGATGAAAAGAGGGAGGAGCAGGAAGGAGAAAAGGAGGGGGAGAAGGGGAAAGTAAAAGGGAAGGAGGGAGAGGGAGGAGGGAGAGGAAAAGAAAAGGAAGGAGAAGGCCCCCAGGCCTGATAACTACTTAGTACCTAAGACCTAAAGCAGAAAGCTGCCCCTCTTAAGGCTGCTAGGGGCAGGTTCCCCCCCCCCCGTGTCTTTTTATGGCGACTGTCCCCCTCCAGGGGCTTCCTCCAGGGTGTAGTTTGTTGTCTCAGGGCTTCCTGGCCCCAGCCAGTCTGGGCACTTCTCTCCAGTAGCATCTTGGCTCATTGTCACAGTGGTACTGGTGAGACCTGCATTGGCATCAAGGGCAGCTTGAGCCTTACTGGCCTTGTCCCGTGATGTGCTTGCATGCTCACAAAATTTACAGTGAGCACACCTGAACTTGTGAGTTAAGGCAGATAATGGCCCATGGGTCAAGGCTGGACTCATGTTTACATACAAAAACAAACAAACAAACAAACAAACAAAAACCTCAGTAAATTCTCTTTACAGCCACAGTGAGGGGACCCCAAGCTCAGTTTCAGGGGCAGAAACCTCTTAGCCAATAATGAATTCTCACTCCATACAACTGTGTGCTTAGAGCACCAGGGACCCTGATGTCTCTGACATCTTAGAATTAGCCAGATTACTTTGTAACAAAATGCCCAATAAAGTTACCTAATGGAGGAGGAGAGGAGGAGGGATTGTCATGGTGGGGGAGGGCATGGCAGTGGCCAAGAAGGGAAGGGGGGAGGGGAAGGAAGGGGGCAAGGAGGAAGGGGAAGGGAGGGGGAGGGGAGGGGAGAGAGAGACAGAGACAGAGACAGAGACAGACAGAGACAGAGACAGAGAATGCTATCTTTTGCCTTGTCCCTGTCATTCCAGTCTCTATGGGGACTTGCTGCCCACACTCAGGGCAAACCTCTCCTTTCTGGAAGCCACCCTCACAGACACAGCTACAGGTGTGCCATGCCAGTCTCCAAGGTGTCTCTGACTCTGGTTAGGCTGACAAGTAGGATTAACCATGCCAAGTTATAACCATATAACCAGCTTCCACATAAACATCTATTCATATGCACACATATCAGAGAAGCCAGCAGGGTAGAATCTCAGCTCAAATGAAGGGGAGGACTGTAACTTGGCAGAATAATCATCACAAATTTGATTGGATTCACAGCTGGGAAGAGTCATCTGGCTGAGCAGTGATAAGACGTCTCAGCAATGTCCAGACACCCAGATCCAGCCATCCCGCAGCAAGCTCATCTAAGCAGACAGCGGGATAAGAGGGTTTACGTGTTTGTCCACTGAGGCATTAGGCCCAAGAGTTCAGAATTAGGAATCCATGAATCAGTGGCTTTTACAGAGGTCCTACACCAGGTTCCCAGGACACATAGCAGATGGCTCACAGCTGCCTGTAATTCCAGCTCCAGGGGAATCCAACACCCTCTTCTGACCTTGTACACATGCTCATACACCCACAGAGATGCACACATGTACACATAGTTTAAAATAAAATAATTTTAAAAAACTATATCACCAGGGTGTGTGTACACTCATAACCCAAGCTCTGAGGAAGTAAAGACAGGGGGGGGGGATTAGAAGGCCAAGCTTATGTTTGACTACACAGGGAGTTCAAGGCCAGCACGGGATATGTGAGACTGGGGGGGGGGGGGGGTATGGGTGTGAATCACCCAGCATGCTAGTGCACACCTATAATCCAAGAACTTTGAAGCCTGGGCAGAAGGATCAAGAGTTCAATCCACGAGCAATATAGTAAGTTTGGGGCCAGCCTGGGCTACATAAGAACATCTCAAGAACAACAACAACAAAAGTTTTAAGTGAACCACTCACAATAGGAGTTTGTTGAACTGCCATTCTGGCCACCCCTTGCCTGTAAGAAACATCCCTAAACTTGGTAACTTAAAACAACCAACATTCTAGACTTTGGTTATGACTCTGGCATGAGTGTGGGGCGGGGCTTGGTGGGGATTGTTCCTGGTTCATAATGAGTTGGTGGTGCTCAGACAGGTCAGTCCATAGGTCAAGGGCCAGCTCAGCTTAGGGCTGAGTCTTGTGACGTGGTGTTCTCACCGTGGGAGCCTTGGGGTATCACCTTCTCCTTCTCAAGACTCTAAGATTTCATGTCCTTAGGGAAAGGAAGTAAATGCCCACATTTAAAGTGCGCTCCAGAAGAGAGACAGCACAGCATGACTCCTGCCCATCTTGATCAACTGGCAGAGACAGCAGCGAGGAGAAAGCGTGGGAAATGGCCATTTCACACTCCTAGGCCACTAGGTAGAGGCCAGTGAACCCTGGCCTCCCTGGCCACTCCTACTCCCACTCAATCACCAGCAAAAATGTGCTGCCAGCATTCAGAAGGAAGCCACGGCCTCTTTATGTCCCGCACAGCAACGGGCACGTTGCCTGGGACCAACGGTAGAGAGAGTAGAGAGCACCCCTACTCCGAAGGCCCCGAGTGTGAAGTGACCCAAACTCTGCAACTTTCTCAGAACCAACAACATGGAGTCAAAAGTGGAAAATCCCACCCTCAAGTGACCGGTCCCAGCCAAAATATGGACACTCAAAAGATACTGTGTGGCCGGGCGGTGGTGGCGCACGCCTTTAATCCCAGCACTCGGGAGGCAGAGGCAGGCGGATCTTTGTGCGTTCGAGGTCAGGCTGAACCGATAACCTCCGAAACAATACAGAGAAACCCTGTCTCGTAAAAACAAAACAAAACAAAACAAAAAAAAAAAAAGATACTGTGTGATGTGGTCTTCAGGCTCTGTGTGCAAGGCATGTGTGCAGCAAATGAGTTTAGGGCTCAGACCATCCCCAGGCTACCTCATTACACATATGAAAGTGAACCAGAGTGTGCACGGAGGCCACAAGCATGACCTCTTCAGTCATCTGAATGCCAATTTCATGTGTGTGTGGTTCAACGAAAATCATTTTGGTTGCTATGGATTTGTTAATTCTTTGGGTAAATTCATTATAAGCGGGGTACTCTAAAAACATGTTATCATTACGTAGGTGTGGATGTGTGTGTGTGTGAAGTCATAGAGCCCAGCATAGGAGTTCACACTAGAGGCCCAGCACTTATGAGGCTGAGTTAGGGCAACTGAGAGTTCAAGGCCAGCCTGAGCTACCTAGCAAGACTCCATTTCAAAACAAGATTTTAATTGTATCAATTTGCAATTAAAGTGTTTTAAATAAAAAGTAAGGGCTGGGAACACAGCCCGGTGGGGAAAGCGTTTGTCGGGCACACAAAGCATGGTTTGATCCCCCAAGCACCACATAAAACAATGCTGACACATGACTACCAGCCCAGGACTCAAGAAGTGGGAGTAAAAAATCAGGAGTTCAGGGTCACCCTCAGCTACAGTGTGTTTGAGGTTAGCCTGAGCTACATGAGATCCTTGTCTTAGAAAAAAAACAACAACAACAACAAAGTTTGTAGTAGTCAGAACTCCAGCTCTTGGGATTTCTCGTTAGCTCCACCTCTCTGTTCAAGGTTCTTCCCACTCATGAGCCATTTAGTGGAATGTTACATGTATTCTGTATAATGGGGTATGCACTGTAGAATGGACTGCTCTAGGACGGCACTCACTCTCTCACGTCCCCTCACAACACTGTTTGCTGATGTCCTGCTGGTGTCTCAGTCAAACCGCGGTGGAAAGATTTACACCATGAACACTTGGCGAATGCCTGAGCTCAGGGCTCTCTTGTCCCCGAAGAGCTTGTTATGAACCATTCACATCTTCATGGCTTTATTAAAAATATACAATGTGTGTAGGATAACATGCCACGTCTCCCCAGCACACATTAAAACAAACCTAGGTACAAATTGGAATAGGAGGAGATACATGTATACACACACACACACACACACACTCACACACGCACACGCACACACTCGTGTACCTAAAACCCTTTAAATGATCTTACATACCCCAGGAGGAGGTACACATTCCTCCAGCCCCACCACCCCAACATTCAATTTGCCAGGAAATCTGAGGCCATGCACTGAGTCCAAGGCCATCCTTAGCTTTTTCCTGCCTCCCTCTGAGCATAGCAACCATAAACAGCCAGAACCAAAAAAGCTTCTGGAGGGAAGGAGGGAGGGGTAGCTGAGGCAGGAGCATTAGAAACTCACCCGATTAATTAGCCAATGCTGAGGACCCAGCCATCTGGATAACCCATTGATGAGGAAGGCAGGGGTCCTGGTCCCCAGTCCCCTTGTGGGTTACCGCAGATTGAGGCAGATCGTCCTCCTTTCCCCCCCGCCCCCCACCCCACCCCAAAGCCACTTAAATATTTGATGTAAAATCAAAGCCCTGTTCCAACTTTTATGAGCTGGTGCCAGGCGCCCACCCCTGCCACCATCTCCCCAGGAGCCCCCACCCCCGTGCTGCGCAGCCCTCGTCCTCCATCAAGCCCAGTGCATTAGGACAATTAGCGCTAGCCCACTGGCGCCAATTAGCAGCCAATAGTGTCTATATTATGAAGAGGGGGGGCGGCAGGGCGCCTCTGTCTCCAGCCGCCTTCACACTCAATTACATTAAGTGGAGGCTAGGAGCCGAGGCCCGGTGGACAGTTGCTGGGGTAATTGTGTCTTCTCCCTGGCTGCAGGCGATCTCCAGGCTCCTTGGTCCCCAGACTGACTGCCCTCCTTGTCCATTTTCATCAATACAAACTCCTCCCAAAGGGAAGAGGACGCACCTAGGGAGGAAGCTGCAGTGGGGGAGCAGGGAGAGAGTCCTGGGGTGTAATCACGATATGCCCCTTCCCTCCCTCCTCCCCTCTCCCCCCCCACCTCGCCCATTCATAGCTGCTCATACAGCACACCTGGCACTTCCGTGGACAGGACTGGTCCTGTGCACACTGAAGATGAAAGAAAAAGATCTCTGAGTCCACTGAGCCGGGGGAGACTACCGTGTAGGTGAAGTTCTTCCCTGACCTGTGTTCGAATCCCCAGCACCTGGGTAAAAACTGGGTTCTTATCTATGCTCCCTTGGTCACCCCCTATCTTTTTTTAGTTTTTTGAAGCAGGGTCTCTCACTAAACCTGGAACTCACTATTTCTGCTTGGTTGGCTGCACGGCTAGCTCTGCCCCTTCCTCCACATACCTGGGATTATATTCACTTTCTGTCACGTTGGGTAAAACCTTCTGAGAGCCAGGGATCAAACTCAGGTTCTCACACTCTCATTCCAAGCGATTTACCTACTGAGATACCTCCCTGGACCCATTTCTGGGGGTCACTTGCTGTTTGGGGGTCACTTGCTGTTTGTGTGGTGTATTGTATTTTTAAGGGCTTCAGGCAGAGGTCAAGGTCTTCATCTTGCTAAGGTGGAGTCTGAGGAGCTGTCGGTTGTGAAGCAGGGACTACTGCCCACACCCAGAAGGCTCCCTCTGCCACACCCTCTAAACTGTCCACTTGGTCCCTGGATACTGGCCCCAACTCATGTATCAAATACACTGGGTGCACCTGGCTGGGCAAAAAGATGGTCAAGTACCACCACAGCACCTTACCCTGTTGAAACGTGCTGTGTGCTGGGAGAACACATGACTAGTGCTGGAGGATGAAGCTGCTCATTGGTGACCATTGCAAAAGGTCACCACCGGGTCATTTGGCACGGGATATCCCCTGGGTGGACAGATTTATGATGCTTGCAGGCCTGGAATTTTCCACCTAGAAAAGCCTTCAGTGTGAGTGGTCCACAGACCCATCAGTGTCCCCAGAGAGAGGAGCTGGGGTGGCATGAAAGGGTTCTTTCTTCTACCAGCCCTTTGGGTGAGTACCTTTGGGGCAACCAGTGATGTCACAAGGAGCTGGCAGTCAACAGGGGTGTGTCTTTTCTTGGGAAACCCGATGGAAGACAGTGATTAACTCATGTTCCTTCTGTGGGAAATAGCAAATCCCACAAACTAAGGTCAGTCTAGCCAGAAGTGTCCTCTGTACCGTCTGGGTATCTCCTGTAGGTGGAGGGCAGAGCAGCTGGTAGCAAGGTGTGGACAGTGGGCAGTCTGCAAGAATGGATGTCCATTACCTCCCATCTCACACCTAGGAGTTATCCCATTCTCTCTGGTACCCATGAGTGACCGTATAACTCCACACGGCTCGGTGTCTCATCTAGAAAGTGAGATGGGAGCAACATGAGTGCTGGAACGTGCTTGGAATCCCAGCATTGTTCACCGTAAACAAGATAGGGAACCAGCCTCAAGGTCCATCCGCAGGTGAGTGGATAAGCGAAATGTGGTGCATATACCTAATGGAGATGTACACAGCCACAAAGAGGAACAAAAGTACACCACTTGCGGGAAAGGGGGCAGAATTGAAGATCATCATGTTAAAAAGCAATAGCTGGACTCAGAAGGACACTAATATCAAATGTCTTCTCTCATATATGGAATTTAGGAGGGGAGAAATCGAAAGAGAAAGGGTGGCTGTTAGGGAAGATGAAGAGAGACCAGCAGAG